GGCGCTGCGGCCGGGGAGCCGGCGGGACCCGCCAGGTAGAGGCCGGGGCACGGGTCGCTCAGGTAGACCTGGCGGGCGCTGCGCAGCACCAAGGAGACCAGGAGGTTCTTGTGTAGCTTGATGCCGCCACGCTGGACCCGCGAGTTGTAGATCTTGCCCAGGGAGATGCTGACGATGCGGTGAGCCTCCAGCTTGAACTCCATCCTGCCTCCCCTCTCAGGGCTGGCGCGGAGGTGAGGTGAGCCCCGGTTGGACCCAGAAGGGAAGAGAGGCGTCAGAAAGTCCGCCCCGGGGTGGACCCTCGAGATCTTCTTAAGACTCGGAAAAGAAACGACTCCTGTGACGCGCGCGCTCCGGTGACCTCCGCCACACCACACACCACAAAATCGCCCAGTTTCAGATCCGGTCGCTAACTGAGGGCAGCCGCGCCGCCCCGCGCTTTATATAAGCTCTCCGCCCGCCAATCGCGCTGGGTCGCCAACCGTACCGGGGCGGGCCGGCGCGCCCTCGAGCGCCGCGCGCAGCCAATCAGAGGCCGAGGAGGGGCGCCAGGGCCATTCGAACGTTAGTCCCGCGGAGCGGGCTCTTAAAGGGGGCGTCGGCGTTAGGCTGCGGACCCGCGGGTGGTCACCTGAGCGCTGAGGGTGGGTGATGGCAGCAGGTGTAACCACCGTGTTTTGGGTGCTGAAGATTCTGGCTTGAGTACTGACCTGCTGGAATCAAAGCGAACTAAATCATTCTAGCTTGCATCCAGTGTGGTGGTGGACTCTGCTCGGTCATAAAGTCCTGGCAGTACCCCATCAACCACCCCCACACCCCCCCTCCCCCTCTACCGCCACCACCACATTCAAGGCGGCTCAGTCCGGAAAGGTCGGGCCAGCCCTGGCAGAAATAGTGGTGATGGTAAAACGTTGTGATAAAAGGATACCCTGGACAACAAATACTACAACAAAATATTTAGCAGATACTATTTTTGAACGAATGCCTTGCCCTCTGAACTTACGCGCCTTGTTAGCACCTGTTAACGCCAAAGAAAAAGGAGGTTCTAAAACCTCCAAGTTTTGGATTGCTGGTCAACATATTGTCCATATGTACAATGGTATTGGTACTCCACTAAAGCTGGTAGGTATCACTGCATTCTCTAGATTCTAGAACAAACGCAGTTGTCACATGGGGCACAATGAAAAGTGGCATAGTTCTCAACAATGAAATTTTTTTCTTGAACACGAAGACTGAGTTTGCCCTTGGAAAAATCTAGCAAGTTCTAAAAATACAAATAGAGAAGTCCTATGTTCCCATCATGAGGTCATAATTTTATTTGGTGTCAAGGTAAAAATACAGGGGGAGAGTGTTCCAGAATTTTCTAGTCAGTCAACAGCTTGGTACATTTTAGTACATGGCATTAAGGCAGAATCTCCACAAGGTTGGCCAGGTCTGGAAACCTGGAAAGTCAGTTCCAATCAGTCCCACCAAATTCTGACCACAGTTTTGCCTGAACCATATAACCAAGCACGCCTTTCTCAGAGTTCATGTGGAAGTTGGCCTGATGGTAATACCGAAGTACGGCCAAATGGTGTACCCAGTTAGGAGCAATACTAGCGAAAAGTAGATTTGATTATAGACAATTCACAATGAGGAAAACTCCAAAGGATGTGACGGCTCAACAACATAAACTATGCCTACAACTATCTGATGCAACTGAGATCCCAGCTCATGAAATCAAGTTTCTCCCCTCTAGAAGAAGGATATAAAATAATAATTACAAAACTAAGCAGTATAATTTGAGTAATTTTTTTTCCTTCTACTTTCTTGAGAGCTAGCAGTCACTGTACATCAGTGATTAAGAAGACAGGCTCTGGAGAGGGCCTTCCTGTGTTGGAATCCTAGCAACGCTTCCATACTTGGTGTGTAACCTTTGGAAAATTATTTCACCTTTTTGTGCCCCAGCCTTTTTCATCTTAAAATAGAGATAATAATAGTGCTGACTTCTTTTGAGTTTTTGTGAGGATAAAACAAGGTAATACATGCAAAACTCAGCATATGGCATAAACTATCAATGTGCGTTAGTTATTAGAACATATCGCCCCACCCATGACCTTGGGGTGGGAGAAAAGGCTGGGAAGGGAAGAAACATAGATGGGAAAGAAGTTGTATTTTAGGAGGGCATTGAAAAACGCTGAGGTAGGATCCACATGTTCTAAGTAGCAGGAACAGAGTCTGGCATAGGGAACATCTTATTTAGCAGGTGTGCCACACCCCCACCCTAGAGTAAGTGGAAAGGGCAGGAAACAGGCTGAGGTTTCATGATAGAGGGTCTTATGTGCCTCATTGAGGAGATGGAGCCCCAGGGAGCTACTAAAGGTTGAGTGAGGGAACCACAGAATGGATTCTAGAACAGTAGGTACAGTTAATTACCACTTAATTATAAAGAGGACCACTTAATTACAAAGCTCTGTGGGGTTTAGGCAAAAGGTCATAAAGGCCTGAACTAGGTGGAAGAAGCAAGAGTGAATAAACTAAGAGACAAAAGAAACATTCATGATAATCTGGGATGCTCCCACCCATCCAAACAGGTCACTGACAGTGCAAGTCTGGTAACACCTTCCTGACCCACCTGAGTTCAGCATTTCACCACCCTCTACCCTATGAAACATACTCCATTAGAGTCTTCATCACTTTCTCCTGTTGTTCCTAGGCCCTGAGCCAAATGTGCCCACATCAAAGACAGGAACACATCTCATGTTTGTAGCCAGGAGATAGTGAAAATATTTAACTGTGCAACATCAACAATAGTCAACAGAACTAGGGGGAGGGAGGTTCCCTCCTGGAGGGGCTGGATGGCCAGGAAAGTAGACACACAGGGCCTGAGACAAAGAGTTTCTCACTGGCATGGAAACACTTCAGTGTTTCAACAACAGGGGTGACCATATACTGAGTGATTATGCACTTGGATTAATGAATCCCTAATAATGACATTGGCTATCAGTCACTGTATTAGTGATTTTATGTGTACTATTTATCACCTTTATAAAGTTCTGGATGTAGATACCATTATCCCCATTTACAGAAACATTATCCCCATTTACCATTATCCCCATTGCTAAAACTGAGAGGTTAAGCAATTTTACCAAAGCTGACTCTGGTGAAAAGAGTGGTATACCTAGTTCCGAACAGATTTTACTCTAAAGCTTGAGTGTGTATAACATTATTTAGAATAAGTGGAAAAACGAAACAGCCTAAATGTCCATTAACAGAGGACTGCATCAAGAAGAACTGGCATTTCCTCACAATGTAATACTACTCAGCAATAAGGAATGATGAAATGCAGTCATTTCCTATAAAATCAAGGGAATTATGTATAGTTAAGCTTCAGCATGGGGCTTTGAAGCTAGATTGCCTTGCCCCACCTATTACATGCTTGTGACCTTTGGAAAGTTCTCCTCTAAGTGAAATGGGAAAGTAATGTAACATGGGTAAGTTACTGTAACATGGGAAAGTCATTGAATCTTTCTGTGACTCAGTCTCCTGTGTCAAATGGAGCTAGCAAAGATACCCAAAGTGCTTAGTCCACTCTCTAGCACCCACCATACATATACTTGCTCAGTCTAGTTATTATTTTTTTTACTATTATACCACCACCTAGCTCAATTCCAAGCACATAAATAGGTTCCTGTTAGCACTTGTTGGATTATGCATGCCCAGTAAATGTCTGCTGACCTGAAATTGAACATTAACATTATCATCATCAGGAATCCCACTAGCCCTCAGACAAAGAAATATACCTTCACCTACCAAAAAAAGTGGGATGATACAGAATACATTATTCTAAGCCTTAGAAAGCTACTGAGTTAGAATCTGTTGTCATTTATCTTTGAGATCTCAGTTAACCAAAAGACTCATAGCATGATGACAAACCCTGTGGGTATCAGGACAGAAAAAGCAACCACTGTGGAAGTGGCTGGAGCACGTCCATTGGTTCCGTCTGTCTTTCTACCCCTACCCCCACTGCTCTGACGAGGCATGAGCAAATTAGCACCCTGAGTGTTGGCTACAGCTGTTCTGTTCGCACTCAGACACTATCAGGATGCCTCTGGGCATAGGGTCTGACTTTATTTTTTGTTTGCATAACTAATTGAAAGTGAAGTAATATTATCTGATGATGACAGAGCCTATAGTGTCTTAAATTGAGTCTTGTCTGTAAGAATAATGCAAACCCACTATGCAACCCACTTCCCCTCCACCCCCCACACTTTCAAAGTATTAGTCACCTGTGTCTAGAGTGAATGAGTTTATCAGATCTCTCCTGAGAGTAGGTTTTTCAGAGATAGAGGGTGAGGTGAACACAAAAAGGCACTGACCTCAGGAACACACAGCACACAACAGGTTCTGTAAAAAAGTGAGGATGAATGATAGGGCATGGGCTGGATAAAAATACTTTGTTTGCACTGTGCCTACTTTTCAGTATTAGGACATTTGAATTTTTTTTTTTTTTTGGTCAAAGTTGTTTATGCAATCAAGTGATCGTTTGTATGGCATTCTGAAATCTTAGGGAAATGCTCTCTAAAAGTACATTAGTATTTTCTGTAAGTAATACTCTTGATCTTCTGAGAACAGACAAATCTACTTTTTTAATTCTCTTCCTCTCTCTCACTACTCTGGTACATTTTACATCTTTTTTTTTTCTCTTGGCTTCTTGTCCACTGTAGAATTTCTTTATCCTCAAAAGCATTTGACGAAAGGTGGACACCAGAGCCTGCCTACATTTTCCTCTTCCCCATTCCCTTTCCTAAATAATTACCCTCCTTCTTGTCCTAAATATTTATTTTGGATGAAAGAAACTTAGGCTGTTCTTTATTATCATTTTTGATCATCTTACTTCTAATATTATCACTACAATTTAAATATTATTTAAAAGTAAATATATTTAAAATTATGATCATTTTACCTCCTTTAATGCTCCAAAGAAAAATAAATTCCTCAATACATCGAGCAATCAAACTCTCTAAAAAGAACATGGTATCTTCTCAAGCAACAGGAGGAGAAAACACCATCTGAAATTTTAGATCTGTACTGTTCAGTATAGTAGCCACCAGCCACAAGTAGCTATTGAGCACATGCAAATGAGAAACCTAGTTCTTTATTTAAATGTAAAAACAGAAACAAGTTAAAATATTTCTCCTGATATCCAAGTTTATTGGGTCATATTTATGAACTTTGAAAATGTTGCATCCTAATTGATTGTGTCATTGTAAAAGATACAGATTTCAAAGACTGAATATAAAAAAGAAGTCACAAAGTATCTCATTTTGAGAATGGTTACATGTTGAAATGATAAATTTCACACCTATTTGGATAAAATTTAATATTATTAAAATTAACTTGATCTCTTTCATTTTCCATTTGTGTATTATATTGAATTATATTTCTATTGGACAACACTACCCTAGGGATGATAAAGAGATCGGAAGTGTGGACACATAAATATGCATGAACATATTGTGAGTAATTAACAAATGTCTTTGTTTGGAGAAGAGTGAAAAGGAAAGATAAAGTAAAGAGGAAGTAAAACACAAAACATTTCCATCATTGTAGAGTGGAGAAAATCAAAGAAAAATTTCAAACCTGAAGTTAATTGGGCAGTAGAAAGTTCTTTCTTTAACTAAGTAGTAGCCACTAAAATGGGATGCACAAATCTGCATTTTAATCTGATGACACAGGAATTATCACATATAACTACTTAATTCTAAATTCAAACATAGAAATGAAAATTTCAGAGAGTACTCACTCAGCATATTTCTTGGGGGTTGCCATGATGCGTTCTTTTCAATTCCTATGCCCACATGGAACTTGCAGGACCATGTGTTTTCAATGTGCCATTTTTCTGCACAGAAACCTTCAATAGTTCCTCATGACCTTATGGCAAAAATCCAACTCTCTGGCTTGGTCTCCAGAGTACTACACAATACATGGTCACAAACAGCCTGGAATGTCGAACAGAGCCTAATTTCTCACCAGCTGTTCATGGGCTGGCTTGTGGGTGGTCCTTACCTTGTAAAATTGGAGCTTTGGACTAAATCAGTGGCCTTCAAATGATGAATTCACATTAGAATCAGCTGGGGAGACTTTCTCTAGACACCCAGGTCTCATCCCAGAGGACCTGAATCATAACCTCCGGGGTGAGGCAGACTCAGGCATTAGAATATTCTAAGGCTCAATAACTAGTTACAATATGCAACTACATCTGAGAATCAGTGGAATAGCTGGCTGAGTTAAGATCATTTCAGGCCTAAAATTCTATGAATTGAAGTAAACCTTTCCAGCTTTTCTACTAACCTAAGTAAATGCCCTATCTCTTCCCCAGTTAGACAAGTCTAATCAAATGTCTATGTCTCATCTCCTACTTCCTCAACAAAATGCCCTCTCCTCTCCTGTCCAAATTCTCACCACTTCCTCCAGGAAGCCTTCCATATCCACTGGGGTTCACAGTGTGAGCCCTTGGGCACAAACACTCTCTCATAATCTAACAGTTATATATTATTTAAAACCAAGTGTTATCATGTGGTAATCTTTATGTTTCTGTTTTGTATTTAATTACTCATTTCAAATTTTTTAAAGATAACTCTAATATGGATATATCTTCCCATTTCCCAATATTAGAAAGGGAGATACTTCATTACACATATTTTACATCCTGCCACCTCTAGAACCCTAAATGTTGTTATGTGCATATCGAGGGATCAATAATTATTTGTTGAACTAATTAATGGGCTTCAAAATCTGAGGCTAAAATATACAAACACAGCTATCTACAGGGTGAAATAAAAAGAGTACTCAACATAAATTATTCTGGTGGCATATTAACCAAACTGTCAACACACAAATACATTTATCTTATCCTAGTTCATAATTATTCATGACATTAAACTCTACCATATCCATACCGAAACTATTTTCCACATAAAATAAGTTGATTTCGATGGTTTGATTATTCTGTCAGCCTCTTTGACACATTTGTGGTTTTATTACTAAGAAAGTAATTGCTTGCCTACTCTGTTCTGCTTAAACATTTATAAGGAACTAAAAACCCTATTGGTATCAACACCTCATTTGTGGTAAACCAAATATATTTCAACCAATAGGAAGGTTATCCCTCTTCTCCTCACTCCCATTTTAATTGCAGTAGCTAATTGAACAAACTAATTCATCAGTCAAGTCCATTTTAGATCAACACAGCTGATCTAAATTCTAACAAGAGTGCTCATTCTGTTCAAAAGCCTAAATCAGTAAGCCATCTCATACTCATTTTGACTAAGCAAATTTTGAGTATGTAGATATACAGACACATCCTCCCATGTAAAAGGCAGTTTCAGATCTGCCGTCTAACTGGCGTCAATGTGTGGATGAACAGATTTATGTTTATCAGCAGTCTGAGCTCTTTTAGGGACCATCACTGTGTAATAGGCAGCATTTTCACAGCCTTCCCTACATCAGCACTTACAAAGTTTTCTGGGTCCATTCCTTTTGGCCTTTCCTGAAAACATCATAGACCACTATGAGCTGGGGGAAGTGGGACTTGACTTTAAGTCACGTAGGACCATACACCCTTCCCATGAGAACTGGTGGAGGAAGAAAAAGTAGTTATATTCTGTGGCATTGCCCTTTAGGAAGCATAAGACTAGGGTTCCCAGTCATAGTTCCAATCCCCCTCCCCCCACACACCATTTTTTTGCAGGCTGATGTCATACTTAGTTTCAGAATCTCGTCAAGAGATCAGAGCCCAGGGAGATTTTTCAGCATTTCAGAATCTCGTCAAGAGATCAGAGTCCAGGGAGATTTTTCAGCGTGGCTGTTTTTCTATTTGATTTTGAAATTGCCCACACTACAATGGAGTGCAGGCGTGGGCATTCCAATGAGTAGCCTGGGGCTGTGGCCGTGAGTGCTGATGCCTATGGGGGCTGAGGACTGTGCCACTGAGTCAGTTTGGCCACAGTGGTCTGAACAAATGCTTAGGCCCGGATGGATGACAGAACCCGAGTTTTCGTTTTGTTTTAGGGTTTTGTAGTTTGGGCTTGGGGTGTTATTATTGTATTATTTTGTTTGGTTTGGTTTTGAGGTTTATAAATCATTTTTAAAGATTTTTGATTGGCTCTTGGGTCCATATCATATTTGATTGGTTTCTGTGTTTCCAGTTGAGTAGAATTACCTTCACTTTTTAAAACAATTATTTGTGTGCCCTGCCAGTGCTGGGGGAGGGAAAGGAGCCCTTTTCCCTCCCACAGACAGGAGAATAAAATAGAATGAAGGAAAGGAGATGGATTTGCTCTTTTTTTTTTCCTCTGTGAGATCTAACTAGACTGGAAGGGTTTGACAAACAATTAACAATCCTCCCCACTCAGCTGCTGTTTCCCAAAATAGCATCTCCTTTGCTGCCAGGGTAGATGGGGGCCTTCAGGGGAGGAAGACATAAAGGTGCCCTCTTTAGGAAGCCTGCTCTGTCTGTGAGATCTTGAAGGCAGAGGGGGAAGCCCAGGGGATTAAATTAGCAGGCAGCCCAGGCTCCACCTGGAAGGGAAATAGATAATAGGCTTTAAAGACAGGAAACAGCTTGTGCTCCAAAATAATAATTTTCAAAAGCAACACATGATGGATGCTGGGAGGGTTTTCTTTCCCCCAGTTCATAATTTCGAAGCGACATTGCCCTTTGAGACAAAGCTCAGCAAATGAGTGGGGTCTCCTGGTATCCCTGACATTCCGCTCCACCTCACCCCCACCACCCGCTTTGAAAGGAAGGCTGCAGCTGGCCGTTTTCTAAGCCTGGCTCCCCTTCAGACATTGCTCAGCACCGGTCTTGAGATATCTCATTAGGACTAGAGTTGATGTTTTTTCTTTCTTTTTTTTTTTTTCACCTTCTTTCTT